GTTAAATTTATAGTTACACTAAATGAGACAATTAATTCTTTTAAAAACCCTTATTAAAAACACATATTTGATTAAATTATATAATGGCATAGTTATATATTTTTTAATTACAAAAATTACCTCAAGTAACTAAAGTGTTTTAGCTACTTTTTGTTTGTAGTGTAGCTTACGACTTTTTCTACTCTGCATTATGATTAGTTTCAAGGTAGTTTTCCCCAACCCTGATAAAAAGCTTCTCATATATTTTTATTATGTCCTTTTTGGTTCTTGATTGTTTTAGCATTTGTTCTCTTATGCTTAATGTGTATGTATTATTGAGTAAACACAAATTCAACAAGGAGATGTTGCCACAAATATGTATTAGTTAGTGATCAATAATTAATTTTTGGCCGTTTTTGGTTGTTAGGCATTCATTTTAAGAAAATCCGTGTCTTTTAAAATTAGTTTGACCATGAAGACTGATGAATCTGATAGTCAGAGTGCACAAAACATTCTGCCACGTCTCACGCGCTTATGCCAGCATTGCATTTGTTTAGAAAGTTCTCTTGCAGGTGCCAAGATGTACGGGAGCACATAAAGGGCAGATGTGCCCAGCCCAAGTCTAGATTGCCTGATCACGTAGTCACTTAATGCACCATGGCTGATCCAGCCAAACATTTTGAAACTGATTTATGCTTTTATGAGTCCCTTTATGATTTATGTTTTTATCCTTATGCCAGTCTGTCATGGTTGCACGGTTAATATATTTCAGAGGAATAGTGACACAATAAGATAGAGCTTAACCTACTGTTAACGTTTTCCTCTGCATCATAATCTTTACATTCTCTAGTATACATGCATGTGGATTCTGTGAAGATGCTTTCTGGGTGAAACAACATAAATGACTTGCTTTTAAAGTTTTATTCATGCTGTATTTTGGTTGAAGCTTTAAAATTACATTTTAAGTCAGCTGCAAATCCCTCATTTAGTTGCTGGTTTATGTATCATGCAGATTTGCTCCTTTGACTGCCTGGCACAGTTTGCGTGCCTCACGCTGACCTATTTCACTTGAATGGACAGATGGTTGGACTGCATTGGTCTGATATACCATAATGCCCCTCTGTACCAAAGCAGACATTTTGATTGGTATTACTGTGATTCTTACGTTTGCTTTGCTTTTTCCTATTCTTTGTGTCTGTCCACCCACCTGCATTACTTCAAAGGCTGGGTGTTTCCACAATTGCGGCTTGAACGGTTATAGAGTTGTATTGTTCGCAGTTCAATGAACACAATATGAGAAACACTTTGGTTTGGAATGGTAAATGGGTTTCTACTTTCAAAAATTATCCATAATCAATCACACAGAATTAAGATTAAAGTGTATGTAAAGATTAAAGTATAAAGTGCATGTAAGATTTGTTATATTGAAGTTTCAAACATTCACAATGCTTGAGAACTGAACATTAAAACTCAGTGTCTTAAAGGATCAGATATACACTCTTAAAGATAAAGGTGCTTCACGATGCCATAGAAGAACTTTAACATCTGAAGAACCTTTCTGTTTCACAAAAGGTTCTTCGTGGCGAAAGAAGGTTCTTCAGATTATAAAAAGGTAAGAAAGATGGTTCTTTAAAGAACCTTTGACTGAATGGTTCTTCGTGGAACCGAAAATGTGTTTGATTCATTCTAGTGAATCGGTTTATCACAAACAGCCCTCTCTCCTATGTGTACCATTACCAATTACAAGTCTGATTCATTCCATTAAATCAATTAATCCTAAATGATACTCTCGCACATATATAATCCCAAATTGAATTCGTTTTAGTGAATTGGTTTGTCCTAAATATCCATTTCTCTCATAGGACGCACTGAATTGTTTGATTCATTCTAGTGAATCGGTTGACTATAAATGGCTCTCTCTCTTATGTGTGCCAGTTACAAGTCACTGAATCGGTTCATCCTAAATGATTCTCTCTCTCTCTTCATATCCAGTATAGCACCAAGTCTGGTTCAATCCCAATGAATCGTTTCTTCCTAAACGGAAAGTTTGATTCATTCTGGTGAATTGCTTCATTCTAAATGTCTCTTTTGTAGAGTTGGAAAGCCTGATTCATTCTAGTGAATCGGATCGTTCGGATGGTTCATGTAAATGAGCAGATTTTATGAACGATGCCAATTTATATAACGACTTTATTTCTTGACTGTATTATGTTTGTGATTCAGTAATGTATATGAGATGAGGGTGTTTTATTAACTCATTTATTTAGCTGTATTTAGTATGTATTTACCTGTTAAATTTATAGTTACACTAAATGAGACAATTAATTCTTTTAAAAACCCTTATTAAAAACACATATTTGATTAAATTATATAATGGCATAGTTATATATTTTTTAATTACAAAAATTACCTCAAGTAACTAAAGTGTTTTAGCTACTTTTTGTTTGTAGTGTAGCTTACGACTTTTTCTACTCTGCATTATGATTAGTTTCAAGGTAGTTTTCCCCAACCCTGATAAAAAGCTTCTCATATATTTTTATTATGTCCTTTTTGGTTCTTGATTGTTTTAGCATTTGTTCTCTTATGCTTAATGTGTATGTATTATTGAGTAAACACAAATTCAACAAGGAGATGTTGCCACAAATATGTATTAGTTAGTGATCAATAATTAATTTTTGGCCGTTTTTGGTTGTTAGGCATTCATTTTAAGAAAATCCGTGTCTTTTAAAATTAGTTTGACCATGAAGACTGATGAATCTGATAGTCAGAGTGCACAAAACATTCTGCCACGTCTCACGCGCTTATGCCAGCATTGCATTTGTTTAGAAAGTTCTCTTGCAGGTGCCAAGATGTACGGGAGCACATAAAGGGCAGATGTGCCCAGCCCAAGTCTAGATTGCCTGATCACGTAGTCACTTAATGCACCATGGCTGATCCAGCCAAACATTTTGAAACTGATTTATGCTTTTATGAGTCCCTTTATGATTTATGTTTTTATCCTTATGCCAGTCTGTCATGGTTGCACGGTTAATAGATTTCAGAGGAATAGTGACACAATAAGATAGAGCTTAACCTACTGTTAACGTTTTCCTCTGCATCATAATCTTTACATTCTCTAGTATACATGCATGTGGATTCTGTGAAGATGCTTTCTGGGTGAAACAACATAAATGACTTGCTTTTAAAGTTTTATTCATGCTGTATTTTGGTTGAAGCTTTAAAATTACATTTTAAGTCAGCTGCAAATCCCTCATTTAGTTGCTGGTTTATGTATCATGCAGATTTGCTCCTTTGACTGCCTGGCACAGTTTGCGTGCCTCACGCTGACCTATTTCACTTGAATGGACAGATGGTTGGACTGCATTGGTCTGATATACCATAATGCCCCTCTGTACCAAAGCAGACATTTTGATTGGTATTACTGTGATTCTTACGTTTGCTTTGCTTTTTCCTATTCTTTGTGTCTGTCCACCCACCTGCATTACTTCAAAGGCTGGGTGTTTCCACAATTGCGGCTTGAACGGTTATAGAGTTGTATTGTTCGCAGTTCAATGAACACAATATGAGAAACACTTTGGTTTGGAATGGTAAATGGGTTTCTACTTTCAAAAATGATCCATAATCAATCACACAGAATTAAGATTAAAGTGTATGTAAAGATTAAAGTATAAAGTGCATGTAAGATTTGTTATATTGAAGTTTCAAACATTCACAATGCTTGAGAACTGAACATTAAAACTCAGTGTCTTAAAGGATCAGATATACACTCTTAAAGATAAAGGTGCTTCACGATGCCATAGAAGAACTTTAACATCTGAAGAACCTTTCTGTTTCACAAAAGGTTCTTCGTGGCGAAAGAAGGTTCTTCAGATTATAAAAAGGTAAGAAAGATGGTTCTTTAAAGAACCTTTGACTGAATGGTTCTTCGTGGAACCGAAAATGGTTCTTCTATGGCATCGCTTGAAGAACCTTTTGAAGCACCTTTATTTTTAAGAGTGTACTTTCCTAATAAGATCAAATTCATGAACTGATAATCTTACCCAGACACTTTTTATGGGTCTAATACACTTTGAACTGCTATATATAAGAATGAGGTCATGTCTTATGGTACTGCCTGCATTAGCATTTAAAACACCAGTTTCAGCCGGTGCTTGTACGGTTTAAGTGAAGAACCTTTTGAAGCACCTTTATTTTTAAGAGTGTACTTTCCTAATAAGATCAAATTCATGAACTGATAATCTTACCCAGACACTTTTTATGGGTCTAATACACTTTGAACTGCTATATATAAGAATGAGGTCATGTCTTATGGTACTGCCTGCATTAGCATTTAAAACACCAGTTTCAGCCGGTGCTTGTACGGTTTAAGATGAGTTAAAGGCATAGCCTATTCAATCCAAATATTAAAATTCACTCACCCTCATGACACTCCAAACCTGATTTTCTTTTGTTCCACAGAACACAAAAGATATTGTAAAGAATGTTGGTAACCAGTTTACTTCCATTGCACATTGTCCATTTAACGCAAGTCAATGGGGACAGAAAACTTCTGGTTACCAGCATTCTTCAAAGCATGTTTTGCAAAATGTCTGAAAATTCTGCCATCATGTCATTCCAAACCTTTATGGTGTTCCATGTAAAACAAGTTTGGAACACTTAATTTAACACACACATTTTGGGTTGTATTATGCCTTTAAAACACTGTCGGGAATGGAGAACGGTGTCAGAATACTCAAATGTCACAGTGTGCTGCAGAAGTCATACAGATTTGGAACGACAAGTTCGATTTTCAGGTGGACCTGGGACTATCCCTTTAAATCGTTGCAAACAGGAAAACACCTAATGAATAGTCAAGCTCAAACCTGCCTTAAGACACATTCCTCACACACACTGCAAGAGACGCAACCCTTACGAAACTAGATTAGCAGTTACTCTAGCTCCATTCAGGATTAGATATTTGACCCAGCCCTCCGGTAAATGTTGGCATCTTATTGCACTTGAGAGGAGAGGAAATGCAGAGAGACAGTTTAAGTTAATGCTTTATTTAATAAGTCACTATATTACAGCATGATATAAAACTTGAAATCTTTTAGGACAAACCAGAAAAACAAAATACAAGTGGCATACTGACTCATATGGGCCCCGTTCAAACTAATACGACGCATGACAAACACGCATACTTGAGAACAGCACAAGTGGGAAATAAACAGAAGGCACGCCATTTCACATGGACAAGTGCAGCATTAATACATAAAAAAAAAATATAAAAAAAAATCCCCTCATTAAAAAGGCATTGGCTGGCTAATAGAAAGAACCGAATTACCAGCATTCACATTCTTCCACAGCTTTAAATGACAATGTCAAGGGCTTTCTAACCTGGCATAGAGACAACAAAACCCAAAACTAAAGCCTAGCTGGAATAGATGCATGCTGCTGAAATGGTCAGTATAAAAACCTCATTACTCTCATAGCCCTTTAATGTCTAAAGGAAACTTCCTGAAAGTACCAGATACCACCAGGACAACAGATTCAGGCAAGAAACCCTTTTTTGATGGCAGAGGGGAATCTAAAGCCCTTTAGGACCACTGCCACCCATTCACTTCCCAGTCCAACAGTTCAAGAGGAGTCCATTTTAATTCGAAATGACTCAATCCTATCGTAACAGGCTACCGCCACCGATTTCTCTCTTGTAACGATTCGTGAGGTCGTCAGCCTGGACCGTCAGCTTGGACAGAACAGCAAACAGTCCATGGAGGTGGTAGTGGAACTGGCCCTCCAGGTCGGCACCCTCCTCTGCAGCGCCGCCATTCACCTGCAGCTCTTCGTGCTTCACTGCCATCTCTAGAAAGCTTCCGCCCATCTCCATCTAAAGCCCTTTAGGACCACTGCCACCCATTCACTTCCCAGTCCAACAGTTCAAGAGGAGTCCATTTTAATTCGAAATGACTCAATCCTATCGTAACAGGCTACCGCCACCGATTTCTCTCTTGTAACGATTCGTGAGGTCGTCAGCCTGGACCGTCAGCTTGGACAGAACAGCAAACAGTCCATGGAGGTGGTAGTGGAACTGGCCCTCCAGGTCGGCACCCTCCTCTGCAGCACCGCCATTCACCTGCAGCTCTTCGTGCTTCACTGCCATCTCTAGAAAGCTTCCGCCCATCTCTCTCTTCAGCAGGCCCCACTCCATGTCGTTCTTGATGGACTTTAACAGCAGGTAGTGCTCATACATGTCCCTCTGTTTGCTGGGGAAAGAGGGCTCGTTGTTATTGTGACTAACAGAGGCTTGGCTGTCTTGGTCCTCCAGAGGCACGTCCCGCAGTAAGCTTGGCACCATGATGGTCTCGTCCATGTTGTTGGCAGCAGCAATGAACCGGTTCATGACGTTGAGCAGTGAGTGCTTGTTGCATTGTGTGTTGTTGCTGAGCTGCATCATGGCGAAGCTGAAATTAAAGGGCACAATCTAAGTGACTAATCAATAGTGAAGCACAATGGTTTTAGACTCAATCTCTTGCAATAAGAGCGACTAGAACCTTTATAAATAAACGAATGCAACAAACCGAGGGATCGATTGAAAATAAAGCCATATGGGTTTTTAAAATCGCAGTTTCACAAGTCCTAATTCAGTTGCTGCAGCCATGACTCACCTCGAACAGAAGTTTAATTTGCATTTCCTTTAGACAATAAATAATCAGTCACACGTTTTAATAAACCGCCATGTAATCAAGCCAACACCGCGATTTCTCGGTTCAACGAGTTCAGCCTAGAACCACTCAGATTCAGTGCGACCCGTTCGGTCCGGTTTTTAAGCACATTATTTTTTATTATCGTTACAAATGAGACCGTTTTTGGTTTCTCGCCTCGCTAATATATAGATAGACACATTGCATCGTCTCTTTAAAGCATCACCAATAACCAAACAATATTAAACGAGGTTAAAGACGAAACTCATCGGAAAAACATGACTCTGATATTAAACTACTGCAGAACGAAACGGTAAAGCCCCAGTCGTGGCCCGTTTACACATGACAGGCCTCACTGCAATGATAACGCAATACATCTCAAAAAGGACTTAGAAGCAAATGACTAACCTGGATGTAACCGTTTACTGGACTGGAATAACCCAAAGAGACACTACAAAGGATTAACGGAGCAGCCAGGATTTTAAACCGCTCCAATCGAGAAGAAAGTTGCTTTCTTCTGTAGGATCAGGCGATGACCGACAAACTTTATACTATTGACGTCAGGCGGGGAAGCGTCATGTCCAATGGTGTACCGAGCTGCAAGTGATTGACAGGCCTTCGGACCAATCGAGCTTCAGTATTTCATCTGCATTCATGTATGTCGGTATCTTTTTCAAAATATCTCTTCACATGTGGGTGGGCAAATGGTGACATTTTCTTCACTCTCAAAGCATTTTACTTAAATATGAGCTCTTGCTGGTAGTGATTGAAGAAATAGTGATATAACCAACAAACTACTATTTTCCCTCTATGGTCATTCAGTGTCGTACATGTCAATTGTGCGATCTGCAGCCCGCTTGATTTAAATCATTTTAGGACAGTGATTCAGATTTTTCATTATTAAAGATAGTAACGTTGCCTACATTTCTTTATATTAAACGACTGTCCCAAATGGCACACTTCGTCCTTGTGGACCTCCTTTAGAATCCACGCTCTTCATTGGATTTACCCAGATTGCACATCGAGTAGTTGTATACATAAGTAGATAGCGCCATCTGGTGGTTCTACGTCTGAAGCCTATGCTCATTTAAAAGTTTATTGTTCCTATGCATTTTACAGTTTACACAAAAAGAACAGGCTGTTGACAGTTTGTTGTCTTACAAAGATATAAATGTGTGCATGCCCCAAAAAGTAAACCCATATGCTGACAAAACTCAGAGGGTTGTTTATCTTTCGACAAAAATTAGTCAGTATGATTATGCTGGAGTGACGCGAGAAAATAATTAACAGTTTTAAAAGTAATCTGGATTATTCATCATCTTATTTTACTTACAAATGCAAGGATGTCATTGTTACAAATGAGACCGTTTTTGGTTTCTCGCCTCGCTAATATATAGATAGACACATTGCATCGTCTCTTTAAAGCATCACCAATAACCAAACAATATTAAACGAGGTTAAAGACGAAACTCATCGGAAAAACATGACTCTGATATTAAACTACTGCAGAACGAAACGGTAAAGCCCCAGTCGTGGCCCGTTTACACATGACAGGCCTCACTGCAATGATAACGCAATACATCTCAAAAAGGACTTAGAAGCAAATGACTAACCTGGATGTAACCGTTTACTGGACTGGAATAACCCAAAGAGACACTACAAAGGATTAACGGAGCAGCCAGGATTTTAAACCGCTCCAATCGAGAAGAAAGTTGCTTTCTTCTGTAGGATCAGGCGATGACCGACAAACTTTATACTATTGACGTCAGGCGGGGAAGCGTCATGTCCAATGGTGTACCGAGCTGCAAGTGATTGACAGGCCTTCGGACCAATCGAGCTTCAGTATTTCATCTGCATTCATGTATGTCGGTATCTTTTTCAAAATATCTCTTCACATGTGGGTGGGCAAATGGTGACATTTTCTTCACTCTCAAAGCATTTTACTTAAATATGAGCTCTTGCTGGTAGTGATTGAAGAAATAGTGATATAACCAACAAACTACTATTTTCCCTCTATGGTCATTCAGTGTCGTACATGTCAATTGTGCGATCTGCAGCCCGCTTGATTTAAAACATTTTAGGACAGTGATTCAGATTTTTCATTATTAAAGATAGTAACGTTGCCTACATTTCTTTATATTAAACGACTGTCCCAAATGGCACACTTCGTCCTTGTGGACCTCCTTTAGAATCCACGCTCTTCATTGGATTTACCCAGATTGCACATCGAGTAGTTGTATACATAAGTAGATAGCGCCATCTGGTGGTTCTACGTCTGAAGCCTATGCTCATTTAAAAGTTTATTGTTCCTATGCATTTTACAGTTTACACAAAAAGAACAGGCTGTTGACAGTTTGTTGTCTTACAAAGATATAAATGTGTGCATGCCCCAAAAAGTAAACCCATATGCTGACAAAACTCAGAGGGTTGTTTATCTTTCGACAAAAATTAGTCAGTATGATTATGCTGGAGTGACGCGAGAAAATAATTAACAAAAGTAAATCTGGATTATACATTTTAAAAGTAATCTGGATTATACATCATCTTATTTTACTTACAAATGCAAGGATGTCATTAAATACTGCTCTACCCCTGTATAGATAACACTGATATTTCTAGCTTTGTATGTACATGTTAAATATTGCTACCTGATGAACCTGGACCACAACATATTTCACATTTTGTAGACAAAGTTAAAGTTTTCTCTTCAGCACATCACCGCCATGACATTCAACAACCTTACAACTAACACTACAGCTGCTACATTAATAAAGACTGCAGAGAAATTGCAAATAACCACATCATTTTCACAGAAGCAATCCAAATGGAAATGGAAAAATACATGTTTTAAAATAGTTATTGAAAATGAACTGCTGGTGACAAACAGAACTCCCTATGTAACATGTTGAGTGGATAACATCTTAAATGTCTCAAATTATTGTCAAGTCATTCTCAAAAATATTATTTTTGGCAAATGTTGAACTTTAGGTGCATGCAAGAAATTTTACTACTGTTTTTACTAGATGCAAAGTTTTAGCACGTGTTAATTCCAGTTAAACAAATGTCAAGGTGTGCAGTACACTGTTTACTGCATAACTGACTGAATGTTCCTGGTGTAACCGGCTAAAACACATGCACTTTCTACAAACTTCTGTAATCACTGTTATATATACACTCTGGCAAAACAAATGCAAAATCAACGTACCCTTTTGGAATGGGTTCCTTCCCTTTAATGTAGTTACCAACAAGAAATATTCTTTAAAAAGCAGTCAGAAATTCTCTAAAATGAAATGTTTAGCAAAGGCACACATACAAAACACTGAAACTAAATGTTTTCCCTTTTGTCAGGTTCAGCCCTCTGTGATCTCCAGTTGATACCCTGCAATCATACAGAAGAACCCTTAAATGAAAACCTAGGAATTTTTTATCAATCAGCATACTCATTAAATGACACGTAATAAAACAACACAAAATTGTCCCATTTTAAAGAGAACAGCCTAATGGGAAGAGTAAGAAAATATACCTGTGGATCACTACACCAGCTCATATTGGTTGTTGGTGATATAGCGAGACAGACAACATGCCAGGAATATCCCAATGAGCTGATGAGGAATTGAATGGAAAAATAGATATTATTACATGCATTTCAGACTAGATTCATTTCAAAATATTATATGGACATGATGAGTACCTGGAAGAATGCAATTCCAAAAGAAATTCCAGCAATAATTCCAAGATTGGCCTCCAATGTTGCAGTCATCAGGGAGAAACAGCCCTACAAGAGAAGGATTTTTGTTCCTTCCAGAATTACGAAATAAGTCTAATGATATGCGTTGATTTAGGGGTGTTCAGAAGCAGCAAAGTTCTTACCCGTTGATATACCACTAATGCAGCCTTGTTAAGATCTTTAAGTTCTGCAGAAGTGCAGCTTCCACCAGCAGTCATGTTACAGCAGCTTTTGGGGATGCCCTCGCTTTTGAAGTAATCCGTGTTTGCCCAGCTGGTGTAGTTCTTCTCTCCACAGCATTGCAGCTAAAAATGACAAAATAAATTACATTCCTCAAAATAACATTTAAGCAGATAAGTGATGTTTGATGTAATCATGATGTTTTGTACAGCTCCCAATAAAACAAATACATGCTTACTGTTCTCTGGATTCTGTCCAGATCTTCATTGTTCTTATCACTGTAGACTGATTCAGCTTTATTATAGGCACCTTGAAGCACTGCTTTAATCTAAAAAAAAAAAAAAACCAAAGTGAAAACGTTATTTGGCTTACACAGCAGATAGTATATGAAATACTGTACGTAAAGTAAAAAAAAAAGAAAAAAAAGAATTACCTCATGTCTGAAAATAAAGCCGGATATACCTGCCACTAGTTCAGCTAAGAACACAAGCGTCAGGAACATAGTATACTACAAGGGAGGGGGAAATGAAAAAATGCTTAAAAACATAATACAAAACATAATGAAATTTCAGCAAATAGGGTACAAAATAAGGCCTGAAAACCAAATGTTGTTCTGTAAGTTATTAATAAACTTTCTCGTGTATTAAATAATTTCCCCCCCTTACTTTAGTAACAGGGTCGAAGTCTGAAAAGACCATTTTTTTAAGGGGACATCAAATGCAAACAAGCAACTTTTCATGATACGCCAGTTTTGTGTCATAGAAGACACACAAAAAAGGACGTAAGCATTCAAAGTTTACTTATGTATTACGTATTTATAGAATGTGCTGTAACTTCTCCCACATTTATGAATTTTATCACTCTCAGTTTTGAAATCGCGTGACATCTCTAGAACTGACCAGCTTCAGCATCCATGGACTTCCACGGCAGGTCGCGAAGCAACCGAACAACCCGAAGATGATGATGATGGCTCCGGTCCCAATGAGGACATATGGTGCATTGGTAACCTTGTCTGAATTCAGGAGGAGGTCGAACTCCAAATTAACCTTTCCCCATACTCCAACAGCCAACAAGATCACTCCTGTGAACTACAAGAAAAGTTAAAGACTCTCAGACATATTCGATAAGTGTTTATGGATTTGCCTGAGAGATTATTGCTCTGTGTCTTGCCCATTCTTCATACTACCCTTGCAAACCTTGTAATTACACATCAGCTTCAAAACTCGGGACAGTTTAGAGCATTGAATAAAAACAGGGGAATCTGGGAATGCTCAAGTCCCCAGACAACTGTTGTGAGCAAACATAAGCCTTGACCTATTTAGAAACTGGTCAAAATAAAGTTAAGTCAAGTCCCTTTGTATAGCGCTTTTCACAAATATACATCGTTTAAAGTGGCATACAGAAGAGCATGATGTTAATGTTTATAATTTCTTAGTATACCTCATGTTTCATTAGTCACATTTAGCAGATTAGAACTGGAAGATAATTTCGTTTACATTTTGTGACACTAATCAAGCAGTTGAGATTTACTATATAGTATATATCATAAAGTTAAATGTATGTATGCGGATGAAGATGGATACAGTTATAGTAGACTGTAGATTTAGGTTATGTTATGATATTGATGACTTTGAAACCTGTTAGGTTTTGTCCAATTTATATTAATTTGGAGTAGTGACACGCCTATTTACTATTTGGTGATGTGTATTACTGCCAAGGGTAAATAAATGGGAGTTATCATTTTGATCATAAGTCTGAGTCTTGGACTATCCACTTTATAAACATGACCATCTGTCCCGTCTGCTGAAAATCAGTGAACAGCAATAAACAGTCGAGATAAAAGTGCTGCACCGGACTTCGCACCCATTTAGGCCACGTTTGATGAACTGTTTATATCAGTTTCCTTATTGAATCTCTGTATAGATCAATATATTTGAACAGCGATCAAAACAGCTGACTATTCTTCCCAAAGTACATAAGGCTGCAAAGCTTCGTATTTCTTAGTCCGGAATAAAATTGAACCTATATCCTAAAATGAATGTTTTACTTCATTCTTTTTGCATATAAGTTTAAAATGCTGGGGAAATCTAAAATTATCCGACGCATCCTTAAGCAAACCAGTAACAATAAAAGGTAATCGAGAGGATCTAACATATGTACATCTTTTTGTAAGTCTTTTGCGAATCAAAAGATAAATAAACACCTAAATAAAGTATCTTTAATAATGCATCTTATTTTGCATAAAGAAAACATGGCTAGTTAAAAATCGAAACTAGGATTAAACTGAGTTAGAACTGCTCGCTGACTGAGCCCATTGTTCAGAGTGAGCTAGCCGTGCTGATAGCCGCCTTTAGCTAACGGCAAATCTGAGGAAAACACAAACTCACCCAGAAAATCAGACTGTACGAGATCAGAAATGTCTTCAGACACGTTATCACGGGCTTGGTTTGAAGCCGTGCGGACGGAGGGGACATTTCTGCGTTTGTTTTCCCAGCGGATCTGACTGGCGACGGGACTTTTCGATGGATGCTGGAGGAAAAGTTGCGGATTGGAGTGAGTTGGTAAAGTTTGTTTGGGAACTGAACAGATGATACTGTGGAGCAGGGTTGCCAGGGTTTCACAAGAAAACCCGCCCAATCGCTACTCAAAACTAAAAGAGGGGTCCCCAGTTAAAAATCGCTTTCCGGGGGGTAAAATGCACGATTTTTGGCGGGGTCCCCCCTGTTAAATTCGCATTCCAGGGGATAAATATCATGTTATTGGAGTCGCTTCAACCCGCGGACATGAAAAACAATGGGCAACAGTGTTAAAGGGGTCATATGATGTTGCTAAAAAGAACATTATTTTGTGTATTTGGTGTAATGAACTATGTTTATGCGGTTTAAGGTAAAAAAAAACACATTATTTTCCACAGACTGTACATTATTGTTTCTCCTCTATGCTCCGTCTTTCTGAAACGCGTCGATTTTTACAAAGCTCATCGGTCTGAAAAGCGAGGTGTGCTCTGATTGGCCAGCTATCCAGTGCGTTGTGATTGGCCGAATACTTCAAGCGTGTGACGGAAATGTTACGCCCCTTACCATATTGTAATGCCCTGTCTGGCCGGAGCGATGAGACAAAAACATTAAAACCCATTATAAACGAGGCATTTGTTCCATCCAGTGGGGACATAATTATAATGACTTATACTGTCTTTTTATGCATTGCATCGCGCCGCGTAAACATAAAACCATGTCTGCATTTGTGATCGGAGAAATGACAAACACCAAGCGCTACTCTACACTGCTCAAAACTCAGTGAATCATCAGTGGCACATCCTTTAAATATAAAAACGTACTTACAGTCTGAGAGTCAGAATAGCCGGCATTGTAGTCTACTCTACCAGGATCAGGAAACAGTCCTCCATAAAATGCGCTGGACACATCTGAATATTTGGGCTGAACTGTTCTAGAAAAGTGTTGTAAATACAACTTAACCACTGATTTCTAGTCGTGTCCTCTTTTGGAAGACCAAACAAAGTAGTTTCGCTTTCACAACGAAACACAGCGTCACACACGGCGAGCTAGAGTGAGCAGTGGCAGGTGGGCTTGCGGCAACCACATGTGGCGACCCCGGGCTGGACTCCGCTTCGTACACGGTGAAAGCCGATCCACAGCGTGAAGTTGATGTATTTCCTTAGCAACCAGCACGGATCAGCTCCAGGCATGACGAAGCGGATATTTTTTGGAAGGCCAAACAAAGTAGTTTCGCTTTCACTATGAAACACACAGCGCCTTCATGACATGGCGGCGGCGGCAACAACAGCGAGAATAAAAGTTATGCCTTCTTTCTTTGCGTGAACATTTGGGCAGCGTTATGCAAATCTTCCCACATTGTGACGTAGACATGTGGGGGCGTGTTAGAACGAGGCGTTTTAGGTAGGCGTGGTTGACTCTTAACTTTTATAGAATATTATAGAGACTTTAGTCTTTACAGATCTTCTTTATGCACCAAGAGCTTGTAACACTCCAAAGAGAAAGGAAAAATTGAAATCGCATCATATGACCCCTTTAAAGTAGCCCAATTCCCCGGGAAAACCGCGGACTTGGCAACACTGTGTGGAGTCTTTCCCGATAGGAAGTCCTGGGGCAAGTTCAAGCTCAAACCGGTGCGCAACATTTTGCTACGATTTCCGGTTTGAACGACATGTTTCCTGAAAACGGTGTGCAGCGGTGTGCAACGGGGTTTGAGATACGTTTTCTCTTGTTTGGTGGGTGTGTCAAAAATGTCAGCCCAATCAGCAGCAACATGTATGTAAACCACGCGGTATTAAAGAGACAGCTCGCACAATGTAATTAACATCAAAATAAATTCACAAGAGCAAGTATATTGTTTGCACATGTTTATTTACATTAAAGTCAAAATAACTGAAATAATAAGAGCACAAGTATAGATCTTGAACTTCCTTAAGTCTGTCTAAATATCATTTAGTAATTGCAATGTCTTCAGGTACATATCCTTTCCTTAGGAAGGTGTGCTAGACATTGATTAATGTAACATAAAAATACTATACATATTTATATGTTTTGCGATTGTATTGTGGAGTGACACTTTCATAAACTTTTCTTTACTCCTCTGATTATATAATGGTAAATATTACAATGACATAGCACAACAACAGTGATCAGCAATAATGATAAGCCTAATACTCACAATAAAAATAATAAGGTCATATAGATCATAACACAGTCTCGAAGGTAAGAAATGGATTATCCTTCACCTGAAATGTTTGTCTTTTCATCCTGAAATGCGAGGCAAATGTTGGATCACAATAATTAGGAACCACAGTTTCCACAAATCCCTTCATTTGATTGGGATGTTCTCTTTTATTCTGGAGGGCAAGGGCAGTGACTGTAACATCGAGCGTATTTTGCAGTATTAAACACGTATTTATACCGATTTCATCAGGCTCCGAAAATTCTTCAAAAAGAACACAAAGAATGGCCTTCTCAGCTGCCATAGTTGCAACTCTTGAGTCATCAGAACAGTGTTCAACGCACCACCGTTTCCGCTTAAAAACGTTTTGCACCGTTTTGTTGGGGCTGAACGCAGCCCTGATACCAAGATAAAGGACTGGGGGTCTGGGAAAGCTATAAATATAACATTAAAATGGACATTAAAATAATTATTGATTATATATATAATTTCATAAAATATACATAACAGAAAAATGTTGTTCTGTGTTTGGAACAATGCTGCTAAATCTTAAACACTTGGAAATATGTATTTATTCAAAGCCTAGTTTGGCTGAAACGCGTAGTTTCCACCAAAAATAAAATAAAAATAAATAATTTACCAAATGCTTCAAAAGTCATCGGCTGTCAGTTGAGTATATTCAGGAACTGGGAAGGACAAACAAACAAACAAATAAATAAATAAATTCGATTTATTAAATAAAAGAAAGTGAGGCTTTTTCAAACTTGTAATTATCTAAAAGTGAAA